CGCGCCTGTTCAACTTCCACGAGCCCACGACTACACGCGACTCAAACTTGCTCCGAGTCTCTGTGTGTATCTGGAACTTCTTTCACACCATACATAGCGAACCGTGCTAATATATGGATCTCTGTGTGAGTCTGTGTGTATTTAGAACTTATTTTTAACCTTGAACCTCTGCAAAAAAACAGAGAATGCGCTAACATATTATTGGCTCTTTTAGTAAAGTCACGCAGATAGAAAGCAAACAATAATATATAAAATAATAAAGAAAATAAAAAAGTTGGAAAATAATACATTGGTGAAAAGATGCCATTGGTCGACTGACTGAGATTGCTGTGCCCCCCACAGTGTGTGAACACACAGTGTACACACAGTGTACACACACAGTATACACACACAGTGTACACACAATAATGTTCACGTTGTTGTTGCTGAGCTCACACACCCAAAGGGTCTCTGTTCAAGGGAGGGAGCAATGGAAAATGTATCTAAATCAACTTTAACTCCAAACCCGCTCTGTGACGTCACCGCTCATCATTACCTCATCGGCGTGACACGCCAGGGGGAGGTGTACCTCGCTAGTGATGTCATGTCACCAAGGTATTCACCCCAACCCGTCCAACGCGCCCTTGAGCGTGACGTCACCTCTGCCTGGGTCACTTCCGTTATGTTTAAGTACTATCCTTATTTGGGCAAAGCCACACCCAGTGACTGGCGACTCATTAACATAATTTATTCGTGAAATCCGTCTCGAGTTCGTTGTGACCGGTTCGGCACCCACGCCCCATCCCTCCACGTTTGGGCCAGGCTCATTAACATAATTTATTTAAGTTTCAGAGCCGCTCATTGTGGGAGGGGAGTGTCTTGTACTACGCAAGTGACGTCATGTCACCTGCTGCTGCCGCGTGACGTCATGAGGTAACTGAAAGTTGCCGCTCCGCGCGAGAACTGAAATCCGAGGTGAGAAATTTTAATCGCGGTTATGGTGGTTGTGGTGGTGGTTGTTTTGGTGGTGGTTGTTGTTTACAGAGGTAGAGCCTCGCTCTCTCTCTCTCGTACGGATGTCATTTGAGTAGCAGCGAGCATGGAAGCGATGTCCAGGTTGGAACTTTAGAACGCGGGGCCTTGCCTCCTGCCCTCGCCTGATCGCATTCGCTTCAATTCTCTCGCTTAAGTGATCTGCAAAACCGCTCTTGATTTCAGAAGCGACCTGCCCACAACAACAACAAGGTGAGGCTCGTCAACAGCGTGGCGGTGTTCACTCTGGACGCGTGGCGGTGTTCTCTCTCTGCATGTGGAGGTGAAACCAGGGGATCCGGAGGGAAATCCACGCGACCACGGGGAGAGAGAGAGACATGCAGCCTCGGCTGTGTTGATTGATCCTCAATGAATTACTTGGTGGAGTGAGGAAGCATTAATACTGAGCCGATGAAGGTGACCAGGCATGGGTCTGGACACACCACCACCTGTTAACTATGCCAGAAGGGTAAAAAAAAAACTATTTTTACTGGCAAATGAGGTTCCCATAGTGTAGAACAGTCAAGAAGTTAACACAGTACACACATGCAGCTGAAGTCAGATCCGTTCATTCCAGCGTGCAAGGACATCGTGAGCCTGGCTGGCTTCACACCTCTAAGTTGCGATTGAACATTAATTTATGCATTTTTGCATAACACCTTTTGCTATGTCAGTTGAATTTAGCTTTCATAAATATTCCTTTTGTAGCTAGACAGCCGAAATTGTGTGCTCGGGAGTTTTGGGTTAACATTCATTTTGAAGATACGAAGGCAATCACGTCATCCGGAGAACGGCCAGCAGTAATCAGTATCGTGTCATCTGCAAAAAGATTTACCCTGGAATGATCTAGATCAGTGCCCAAGTCATTGACATAAAAAGAGAACAAGAGGGGGCCGAAGGATGGAACCCTGTGGAATCCCTTTTGTTATCTTAACACTGACCTTCAACCATCTGTGAATACAGTTTGGGTGCGAGAAAGGAGGTACATTTTTAGCCATTCTACTGCGTGTTTGGAGAAACCGAGGCAACTTAGTTTACTAAGCAGGGTGTTGTGGTCGACTGTATCAAAGGCTTTGGACAAGTCAAGAAAAAGACTGGCGCAGTACTACATATTATCAAGGCTACTAATGCAGCAGATGTGCTGTATTTTTTTCGGAACCCAGATTGTGTTAGATGTAATAGATTGTTGTCGGACAGGAAATTGCTAATTTGGTAGTTTAATAATTTTTTTAAAATTTTCGTCAACGGGGACAAAATTGAGATAGGTCGGTAGTTATTTGGATCTTCTTTAGGGCTCCCTTTGTGAAGTGGACGAACATAGGAATGTTGGATGGACCAGTTGAAAATATGGGCTATAGGTTTATATATTAGGTGACCAACAGTTAGCAGAGCAAAGACGGGAATACTATCTGCTCCGTTAGAGGGGAGGACCCTTTGAGGTAGGACAGTTGTTTCAGAACATTACTTTCGTGGATTGGCTGGAAACTAAATTTGTTTAATGTTTGGACAGGGATATAGGAATTTGCATGAGCAGGGGTGACTCCCAGTACATTATCAAAAAGGTTACCAGCTTCAGAAAAATTAAGGTTAAAATTGTCAACAATTTTTTTGGGCTCTGAAAAATAATCCCCATTTCGGTTAAGCTCAACGGGCAGATTATCTGTGTTAGATGCCTTTTCGATACTTTTGATTGTTTTCCAACTGACACACCGCTGCACACGCCGCCGCCATCTTGAGACGTCGATGGGCAGATTAGCTCCACGGTAGGTCCTGGTGTCAAGGACATGGGCCCGCATCCGCTGTTCTGTCACTATGTGGTCCAGAAGATGTTCTTGCTTGGACCCGGCATGCATCCATGATGTGGTGTTGATGTGCCGATGCCGGAACAGCGTGTTGGTAATTACAAGCCGATGGGCTGCACAAAAATCGAGCAGCCTCCTACCGTTGTTATTGAGCTGATCTGGTCCATGCCTTGCAATCACTCCAGTCCAGGTGCCAGCATCATGACCAACACGGGCATGGAAGTCACCCAACAAGATGACTCTATCTCGTGGGGCCACTTGAGCTAGCACCTGTGACAGGAGGTCATAGAAGGCATCTGACTCATCTCACACACACACACGAGCTCGCACACACAACACACTCACATATATGGACTAACACACCCACATGGACGTACCCACGCACACACAAACTTTTATAGAGTAAATAAGTTTGTAAATAGTTTTTATGTATCTGACTTTAGCACTACATTTTTAATTTAACTACTGTAAAGTTGATGGATGCGAAAATGTAATAGCACTGGCTCACTTAAAGGACTTATGGCGTGGTACCTGGGTTCTTTTTTTTTAAACCAAATCTTTAGCAAATTTTGTACACAGACACACAGACAGAAATAATGACGTTTATAAGTCAGATGTTAATAATCCATGTGAAATGCATGTGTATTTAAGAGTTTATCTTTGTGGGGAGCTGTAGCGCAGTTATTTCACTGCATTATGAACTCAACAATTAGTTTCATTATCGCCAACAGCAAACATGATTGATAACACTGCGTAAAAAAAAAATTGTCCCTGCATAGTAAGGGTTATTTTCTAATTGCTTATGCCTCAAAAGTACAGAAAATGGCTATTATTCCCCACAAACTTTGCTTTTGTGACCAGGACAGTGATATTTTGAAATGTACCTATTTTCAATGAGAAAATGTGTTCATTTGTGTCATTCCTTAACGTAAAGTCCTGGTCACGAAAGGAAAGTGTGTGGGCATAACCAATAAAAAAAATAACACTAGCCATCCAGGGACAAAAATCGTGTTACATAGTGTAAGTGAAAGCTGAACTTGTTGTGGGCCCCTGCTATGTTGATTCATATTGAATTAATTACATGGTAAAGTGTGAGGAAGCATTAATACTGAGCAGATGAAGGTGGCCAGGCATGGTTCTGGACACACCACCACCTTTTTACCATGCGGGTGTGTGACAGTGTCAAGTTTGTATTTGCAGTAAAGTATATTAACTATTAAACATTAGGTTAAATCAAAACAATAGTTTAATTTAGTTTTCCTCTGGTACTTTTTGTAAGAATGGAAACAGTCAGGAAAATATTTCAGCACATCTTCAGCTGAAGTTAGATCTGTTCATCCGAGCATTCAAGCAAATCTGAGCCTGGCTTCCACCTCAAAGTTTCGATTGAACATTAATTTATGTATTTCTGCATAATACAAATAGTATTATTTTCAACACACTTTGCTATTAAAGCTGAATTTTTCTTAAATATTCCTTTCATAGCTAGACAGCCGAAATTGTGTGCTTGGAGTTTTGGGTAAACATTCATTTTGAAGATACTAGAGCATCCAGGCATATTTATGACCATTGGCCCTCTCATTGTGTGCCCTAACAGCCCACGTGATGAATTGGGGAATTATTTTCACTATATCATGAATATATGAATAAGTATAGATGTGTAAGTCATGTGTGACTGTGCATATATGTGCATTCCTCTGTGCCTTGATACTGATGTAGATGGTGTGGATATGTTTTCTGTCTGCAGCTGACACTTCCTCTGACTCTTCCTCAGCAGAATTGGTCTGATGGAGCAAAGGGACTCGGCACAGCTCGGTACAAGAAGGAAACAATGCGACCAGTATGCAAACAGCACGGATCGTACTGGAAGTTTGACACACCACCAGAGAACTCACACAGGAGAAAAACCATTCAAGTGCACTGTGTGTGACAAGGCATATGCACAGTCATCAACTCTTCAGATCCACCAGAGAACACACACGGAAGAGAAACCTTTCAAGTGCAGTTTGTGTGTAAAGGTATTTTCAGGTTCATCTCCTCTGAAACGACACCAGATAACACACAGGGGAGAGAAACCCTTCAAATGCCCTTTGTGCGATAAAGCATTTGCAAAGTCATCATATCTTAAAAAAACACCAAAGAACACACATGGGAGAGAAACCCTTCAAGTGCACTGTGTGTGAGAAGGCATTTACAGAGTCATCAATTCTTCACGACCACCAGAGAACACACACAGGAGAGAAACCCTTCAAGTGCACTGTATGTGAGAAGGCATTTGCAAAGTCATCAAGTCTTCAAAATCACCAGAGAACGCACACAGGAGAGAAACCCTTCAAGTGCACTATGTGTGAGAAGGCATTTACAGAGTCATCACATCTTAAAACACACCAGAGAACGCACACAGGGGAGAAACCCTTCAAGTGCACTATGTGTGAGAAGGCATTTACAGAGTCATCACATCTTAAAAAACACCAGAGAACACACACAGGAGAGAAACCCTTCAGGTGCACTGTGTGTGAGAAGGCATTTTCAGATTCATCACTTCTTAAAAGACACCAGAGAATACATACCGGAGAAAAACCCTTCAAGTGCACTATGTGTGAGAAGGCATTTACAGAGTTATCACATCTTAAAACACACCGGAGAACGCACACAGGAGAGAAACCCTTCAAGTACACTGTGTGTGGAAGCGCATTTGCACAGTCATCAAATCTTAAAAGACACCAGAGAATACACACAGGAGAGAAACCCTTCAAGTGCACTGTGTGTGAGAAGGCATTTGCAATGTTATCAAATCTTCAGAGCCACCAGAGAATGCACACGGGAGCTAAACCCTTCAAGTGCACTCTGTGTGAGAAGGCATTTACAGAGTCATCACATCTAAAAACACACCAGAGAATGTACACAGGAGAGAAACCCTTCAGGTGCACTATGTGTGAGAAGGCATTTACAAAGTCATCATATCTAAAAACACACCTGAGAACGCACACAGGAGAGAACCCCTTCAAGTGCACTGTGTGTGGAAGCGCATTTGCAACGTTATCAACTCTTCGGAGCCACCAGAGAACGCACACAGGAGAGAAACCCTTCAAGTGCACTCTGTATGAGAAGGCATTTACAAATCCATCAAATCTTCATATTCACCAGAGAACGCACACAGGAGACACACCCTTCAAGTGCACTATGTGTGAGAAGGCATTTACAGAGTCATCACATCTTAAAAAACACCAGAGAATACACACCGGAGAGAAACCCTTCAAGTGCACTGTGTGTGGAAGCGCATTTGCACATTCATCAAATTTTAAAATACACCAGAGAATACACACAGGAGAGAAACGCTGCAAGTGCACTATGTTTGAGAAGGCATTTGCAAAGTCATCTAATCTTCATAGTTACCAGAGAAAGCACACAAGGGAGAAACCCTTCAAGTGCACTGTGTGTGGGAAGGCATTTGCACGGTCATCACATCTTCAAAGACACCAGAGAACACACAGGCATCACAAGATCCCCAAGGAGTGGAGTCTGAAATCGGCTTGTGTAAGTCCAAGTGCTGCAATGAGCCCATCCCTGTTGAAAAAAGAACCAAAATTTAATTCCAGCTTGGACGCAATGAAATGTGTCAAGGTGGATTTTGAAAAGGTGAAATGTGAAGAAGTGATGGTGAAGAGCGAAGAAACGATGGTAAAATGTGAAGATGAAGATTCAACTCCAAAATGTGACCTTCACATCGATGGAGGCAACGTGAAGCAGGAGGAGAATTCTCACTGTGAGGCAGAGCGAAGTAACTCCCAGGAGTTTGTGGAAGTGGAGGTGTGGGTGGACTTCTTAGACAATACAAAGTCAAATGGAGACCCGGTAGATATGTAAGCTTGAGACAATGAAGCCCCAGTAGATTCACCTTTGTCACAGGCCTTTAATTACATTAAAGTGAAGTTGCACACTCAATTCGTAGGTTCAGCCTGCCGAGTAAGAGGGGCCAGTATTTGCAGACCTGTGGGTTGGGTAGATCTCTAACCAGGAGCCAGAGCCAATACGCTCCCAAGCACTCATAATGTTATAATATTATAATGATGCTTGTTTAATCGCCTCAGCAGCTCGGAGTTTTGTATCATATCTCATCACAAACACTCGAAGAGCATGTTGTGCATATGCCTTTTCCAAAAAAAATTATTAAGTGATTCTGCCTTTTTTGGTAATAATTTTGATCGGGATGTAGCGCTGGGGCACAGAAAGGGTGAGTCGCCCCCCCTGCCTCCTACCTTGCCACCAGACCGGTGGAGGATAATAACTCACAAGCCTGCTTGTAAAGTAATACAATTTAATTAAAAAAATGGCAAACCATAAGATGGAAACAGCAGGGGTCACGAACCTCCCTTGGACTTTGAAATCCACCCAAGGGCAGTTAATCATCATGAGCTGACTGGGTTTTTAAAAATACAACAGTGAAGTTCGAAGCTTAGCTATATGTTCAACCTCAGGATATCAAAATATACTTGAGAATAAGAAGCACAGATCCCTGGCGATATAGACGGGGAACAAAGGTTAATAAAACCCTCGGAATATACTCGGTAACAACTACGGTATACCATATCTTGGTTAAGCATGAACCAAATAATAATTGTGAAAGTATTAGACCTAGGGTCATTCAGAAGAGATACAATGTGAAATATGTCAATCTCACGAACAAGATAATGTATTCCACGGGATCAGAGTCTCACCAAACGCCTTCGTCTTCCAGTAGCTAACAGCACATGGTAGCAGTAAATTATGTATGCAGGGGGGCGTCTTCCCCTAATATATCAAATACCATGCAAGAATTCCAAACAGCGACGTGAGTGCAGTGAATGTTGCTCTAAACGTACTTCGAGTCACTTGCAGAGTCAAAACTGCGGAAAGTGGTAACGGTACCAAGCTATAAGAGGTGAATAAAAAAATTTACTTCCAACTCGTGATGAGAGGACAGCATACATGGTGACAGCAAGCACACTCCTGCACAATAGGTCACGACTTCAAAGGCCACAGCGCCCCTTTTTGACAGAGACTGCAAGTCTGATGCAAATTTTCTTGAACACTTCCAACCCGTTATGGGATTGTGGGGAACGCTGCCCAAACCGAATACACACACAGGGAGACAATTGTGTTAAAAGCTTTATTTTCATCACAGAATCTTACCCGCGAATGTATTAAAGCCCTTAGCCAATTGATGAACATTTGTTAGACAAGCAAGCACACTACCGCACACCATTATTTCAAGGCATTACGTTAATTGCATAATCTAACAAATTCATTGAGGTCTACCTTTGCTTAGGCACGTTTCTTTATTACCGTTCGTATGAATTTTGTCACATTAATTAAAAAACTTTTTCCTGTCGCTGTGTATGATCACCTTACTCTGAAGAATGCGCCAATTGTTCCATTACCGAGTTTGACAAAAATAATTTTTGAGGGTTAAATGTACAGATCAATGAGGAGGACATCTCCAGGAGTACTTTGTTGGCATTCTTAGCATAAGAGTTCGCATATTAGAATGTTACGTGTTTTTTTTAGATTAAAGTTGCTTAACACAGAAGAGTCTGAGTGGTGTTTTCCTAAGTCCATGCATATCTTTCTAACCTATAAAAGGCATTTTTTGTCCGTCTGCGTACACTTGCTTGCGGGGGATTTGGCTCTCGGACCGTGGGGTTTACCGAGAAATGTTTTGCCAGGAGGCACGCCCCGAGCCCCGCGGTGGGAATATGCATTTCCGTTTTTTAGTCCCTAAACTTTAAAGCGGTTTATCCATTTAGTGCGATTTCTCTTTATTTATTTATTTAGCACACCATTGCGCATGCGCGAAACGCTGACCAAGGGTTGCCCCTGGCAACGGGCAGCACAAAGTTGCTGCAGGGTGGACGCCATTTCTCACCCGCGTTAAAAAATATGCGCACATTTACACGCGACGCTGCGGTAAATACATCAAAGTTTCACGTCCTCTACTCTCTCCCCTCCCACCCCAATGTGTGCAATTACTATAATGTCGGTAGATAATAAAATTATAGAGATTAGAATATTATTCTAGCGCGGGGGTGGAAGGTAGCGGCCCAGCCCCCAGCCTCGCCCGGCTGGGCAATCTAGGCGAGGCCAGAAGCTCTGCACGGGACTAGGCCTCGACACCCCACTCTTGTTAGAGTCGATATACCCAGCATTTCCCGGGGGGGAAATACATTTAAAAACTTCTGAAAACTTTAAAACATAAAATAGCAATGAAAATGAAACTCAGTAAATTAAAATAAACCCGAGCACGCCATGAATCGATTCTTTAAATATAGACTGTACAAATAGTTATTAAGCTGGGTGAATGTACTGGCAGTCTATAATGTAGACCAGGGGTCCTCAAACTTTTTAAACAGGGGGCCAGTTCACTGTCCCTCAGACCGTTGGAGGGCTGGACTATAGTTAAAAAAAACTATGAACAAATTCCTATGCACACTGCATATATCTTATTTTGAAGTGAATAAACAAAACGGGAACAAATACAATATTTAAAATGAAGAACAAGTAAAGTTAAATCAACAAACTTGCCAGTATTTCAATGGGAACTATGGGCCTGCTTTTGGCTAATGAGATGGTCAATGTCCGGTTCTATATCTGTCACTGCTAGTCGTAACAAGTGATGCAAGTGTGCATCCGTTAGTCTAGATCTGGTTGGAGATTTCAAATGTTTCATTCTGGAAAAAGTCTGTTCACAGACATAAGTGCTGCCAAAGATGGTTGCCATTTTGAGTGCATGGTTCCTGAGATGAGAATATGTCTCAGAGGGGAGAGATGCATAGAAATTATGAAGGCTGCTTGACTTGAATGCGTCTTTCAAAGTCACAATTCTGCAGTTCAGCCAGTTCCATTTGGTAAATTGTATCCACATTTTCAATGTCAATAGAAAATGGGTTACGGAAAAGCTGTATGTCCTGTTCATGGAGATGAAGCTCTTTAAATCTAAATTGGAACTCCTTTTGCAATTTTTCCAGTGAATCCAAACATGTTTTGTTTGGGAATGCAACCAATGGTTTTTCCGCTAACAGATTTTGAGTTGTGGGGAGATGGCAGAAGTTTTCCTCCTTCACTTGTTTGATGAGGAGGCCTAATTTTACTTCAAATGCTTTGACATGTGATTGCATATCACAGATGAGCTTCCCCTTTCCTTGAAGTTGCACATTGAAACTGTTGAGTAGCTCTGTTACATCTGTCAGAAAGGCAAGGTGCCATTTCCATTCTGCATCATTGAGCTCTGGTACTTCTTTGTTTTTTGAAAGCAGAAAAGCTGTAATCTGTGGAAGTCATAGAAACGTTTCAAAACTCTCCCTCGACTCAGCCAACGGACTTCTGTGTGGTACAGAACATCTTCATAGTCAACATTTAGCTTTGACAGAATTTCCTGAAATTGTCTGTGGTTTAGTGCATGAGCTCTAATGAAGTTAACACAAGATACCACAATTTTCATAACAGAGTCCCACTTCAGTGATTTACTACACAGCGCTTGTTGGTGGATGAGGCAGTGTATGGCTATTGGATGAGAATGGTTATGTTTGTCCATCTCTTGGTTAATGCGAGCAATTACTCCTTTCTTAGACCCCACCATGCTAGGAGCACCATCATTTGTCACACTAGCTAGTTTAGCCCAGTTCAGCTCCAAACCATTCACAGTTTGGCAAACCTTTTCATAGATATCCTCTCCTGTAGGTGTTCCGTTGATGCTTTGCAGTGCAGCAAGCTCTTCTGTGACTTCGAAATAGTCATTCGTCCCACGAATAAAAATTAGAAGTTTTGCAGAATCACGAACATCATTGCTTTCGTCGAGTGCCAAGGAAAAATAGGAAAGTTTTTTTGTGGAGTTTTGCAAATGCTGATGCAAATTGTCTCCCATTTCTTCAATCCCCTGTGTAATTGTAGGTCCTGAAAGACTCACCGTACTAAATAAATCGGCCTTCTCTGGACACATCTCTTTGGCAACAGAAAGAAGGCATTCTTTAACAAATTCTCCCTCCACGAATGGTCTGCCAGTGCACGCTATTAGCTTGGCAACTTGAAAACTTGCTCGCAGTGATGAAATATTTAGCTGCTTCTGCTTCACAAAAGTATTTTGCTGAGTTAATGTATTTTTCAGTTTTAATATTTTATCTTTTCTCACTTCTCCGACCAATCATATTTATCTTTACGTTGAGTTTCATAGTGTCGACGTAAATTGTATTCTTTGAACACAGACACTATATTCTGGCATATCAGACACACAGCTCTTTCCTTGTACTGCATGAAAAAGTAATCATAAGTCCACTGTTCTTTGAATATCCTACACTCCCGAGTCAATTTTTATCTTTCTTGACATCATTGTTTCCTAGGCAGTCAAATTGCTATTAGTAAAATACCAATATATATATACAGTGCTACAAAAACAATATACTAGCAATAACTTTGCCCACACAGAGACATACATACTGCACTGCCCATCAATGCAGTCTGATTGGGGGAACTCCGCTTTTACCCCATGCTCACACTGGTGCGGGTGCCATTAAAAAGTTAATTACACCTGCAGTTTTGTTCACAGATCGCAGTGCGATCTGCGAACTCGCATAGGAATCTGATCGCATGGGGGAGAAGACCCATGCGATCCGATTCCACTGCAGGAAAAAAAGAAGGCGCATGTGCCTTTTTTCTTCCGAATCTAATGCAAGTTCAGCCATACAAGCATATGGCTGAACTCGCACTGCTCAGAGATCGCAACAGTATGAACCGGGGCTTACACAACATACAACATATAACCTCATACTACTGAATAGCAACCAGAATATAAATGCACTTACTGTCATTTAAATTGGGTTTCCTACTCCTCGGCTGTCAATCACTGACCAGCACGGGAAAACAGCAGGCAGCCCGACCAGAGATCAGAGATCACTCTGTTATTACCCCTATATCATTTATTAGCGGTGCGTGTGCTGGGGATCTACATCCCTGTGTGCTGGGGATCTACATCCCCAGCACACAGGAATATCACTGGGAGTGGAGCCGAGGGGCAAGTGAGGGAGCTGAGGGAGAGCCAGTCAAGCGCTGCCAGGGGAGGGCTGGCAGCCTTAGGCCTGGGGGGCAAGTCCAGTCAATTGGCCCATTGAACCATTCACCAGCGCAGCCCAATGAGTGCCCACCGCCGCAGCTCAATCAGTGCCCACCGCTGCAGCCCAATCAGTGCCCACCACCGCAATCCAATGAGTGCTCACCAGCGCAGCCCAATTAGTGCTCACAAGCGCAGCCCAATTAGTGACCATGGGATGTGGGTGTCATCTGTCTCACCTCTTCAGTTCAGGGGGTAATGATGCTGCCAACTTCCTCCAAGCTGCCTCTGCTCTAAAAGACTGTGGCTGCGCCGTGATGCTCAGTCTGTCACGTCTCCCGCGCTCTCTCTCCCACGAACCAGCTTCCGGCTTTCACTGCCCACAAGTCACCGCGCAGCCGGCCCCTCCCACATCCCCTGGCTTCCTCTGAGTCCTGGGAGGTGGGAGTAGTAGTCCGGCTGCGCTGTTCGGTTCCTCCCACCGCCTGAAGCTTGATTGCAGCCAGACTACAATTCCCATGATCCAGCGCTTCAGCCGGCCAGCCAATCGGCGGCGGCCGCCCCCTCTCCCTCTTCCACCAATGACCGTCCTTCTCATGTAGAAAAAAAGTAACAGGCAGCGGCGAGCGGCGGAAAAAACACCCGGCGGGCCGGATAAATGTCCTCGGCGTGCCGCATGTAGCCCGCGGGCCGTAGTTTGAGGACCCCTGCTCTACACCTTGGGGTGTGCACAGTGATGTCCTCTGGCTACACAATATTTAACATATCTTTTGACCATGTAGTTCGTGAAGCCTTCAATGGCTGTACCCGAGGAATTACCATAAGGTACAGATATGTAACGGATTCCGGAGACACTTGTAGATGTAACTTCTTTATTACAATACAACACTCCAACAGTCCTGATACTCTGTTACAGCCTAGGTACACAGCCTAGCTACGCAGCCTAGATACTCTAGATACTCTACTCTGGCTACGCTCGCCCTCACAAGGTCGTAGCGTCGGGAGTTCCAGAGTCCCAGCGCTGGCTCTCACAGCATCCCAGGGTCTTCAGATGGCTGGTCGTGGGTCTTGCGTCTTGAGTTACAACTGGGCCCCGATCGTCCAGGGAGCTCTCCTTTTATGCCTGGTCCGACGAGGGGTGGGGCCGTGTGCGCCACCAGACATCCCACAGAGCACACACAGCCCCCCCCCCCCCCGTTGGCGGCGCCAAAAAGGCTTAAGCGCCTGGGAACCCAACGCCTGGCGCCCAAAGGCTTAAAAGCGTCTGGACCCCCTGGGAACCCAGTGCCTGGCGCCCAGAGGCTTACGCGTCTGGACCCACCTGGGAACCCAGAGCCTACAGCAGCCCCTCCCTTCTTATGTCACTACATTACCCCCCTCTACGTAGCCTCCAGCCGACC